AAACTTCAACCTTTGAGGAGTCAATGTAGATTAATACTACCTTAAGTACCTACTTTGGTCTCACGACGCTCAAGCCGAACCTACTCGAACAATCCTATTCGGGGGGGGGGGGGGGGGGGGGGGGGTCTAGGCTAGCTAATCTTTCAGTTGAGTCTCGCCATAGACTCCAAAATCATTTAGGGGGAAAACCAAAAAAAACAAACCTCAAGTTGTTCGTCTAAAGGGACAACAGACAAGTGAACCAAACTATATTTTGTCACGTAAATCTAACTTAAACCAAGTTAGGAATGGAAAAATAGTTTGGAATGCTCTTGTATAGGTATAAATCCCTATATATAATTTTTCAGCATGACCCACCCTTTAACTGGTACCTGTAGCTCATCTAAACCACGACAGCTTACACACCAGGTGCATATAGGTTTAAGGTCTTATGTAAAATCCTACTCATAAGCCCAACTAAAACCACATAAATGCATGAACACATAGAACCAGAATGGCACCCACTGGGAACTACCAGCAGCAACCTTCGCTGAAGGAACCTACAACTCCAACGTGGGTCTCCAAACTCCATCCAGTGGTCGCCTCTGCAGTTCAATCGAGGGAACCCTCTGCATGCTGATCAATCAACACAGCACCTCTTATCGTTGTGGATTATATGACTTTTTCCAATGGATTACAGACTTTGTTTCCAAGAGGTTAAAGCGTTTGCTGCAATGGAATTACCAACAACATAATGGAATTACCAACAACTTTGTGGAATTACCTAAACCGTTGTGGGATTACCTTCTTTGACTTTTGTTTTCCTCTTGCTGGATTACATCAAGATCAAGGACATTCGGAGGCGTATGTTCATGTTGGAACTCATCCCCATGGACAGGCGATGATTTCCAAAGGGGGGACTGTAGTGAACTAGGCCTCTGACAACAATCTGTCTCTGAAGACCTTCAGGGGACAGGAACTGCTATTTCATCGTTTTGAATCCAGAAATACAAATTATCTCATCAATAGACTATTTAATTGTATCATGAATTAATCAGTTGAAAGAACACTTCCTTTTTTCATTATCATTACTATTTTAGAATATCTTGATAATCAGTGTGTGTTTAGTTCATACCATTTCTAAATGTTGAAGTGAACCACTCGTTTAAAATCAACTGTGAAACGGTATTAATGATTTTTAAACCTCAGCAGACTTAGAAATCAAGTTAAATGTCTATTTACAAAGTAATTGTGCATTTTGATCTTCTGTCTGAATGAGGAGTAGTGATGTCGGTCAGAAGTCAGGGATGTCGGTCAAAAGTCAGAAAGCAAGTTATGAGAACTAAGTGCCTTGTTTTTAAACCTAGCAGACAGTAAATAACTTCAACTGGCATCTGCGTTTGTCTCACTTCGCCATAACATTCCTCTGTCTGTACTAACCGTTCGTAAACATTCCTGCTGTCTTTTTGACTCCTAATAACCCTCTGACATCACTGAAACACCGCCCCTGCTGGTTGTTTCAACCAATCAGGAAGTACCAAGTGACCGGAAGTGAGTACTCTTTAAAAAGTCAACACTTTCTGGGACAATTCAGTCTTCCTGCAGTGTTCCTTCAGTCTTCTTGCAGTCTTCCTTGAGTCTACGAAGGCTTCCCAGGAGTCTTCCACTTCTGAGTGGAATCTCTGACTGGAGTCTTACTGAGAGTTCCTAAGGAACTTTCAGATTTAATCAATAGCGGATGGATTTGACCGTGAGATGAGGGTCCGTCCATCCCAGCGGAATCACAGTGCCTCGCTGTGAATTCACCCGGGCGTAGCTCCCTACAACTTCGAAGGAAGCTTGTTCTGTTGAACGGAGTAAACCACACGACTTCTGACGATGACCAGCTGCTTTAACCAGAGACGCTGTAAAGGGATCGTACTAATGGACTTCTGTTCCGGAGTGTAGGTAGCCCCCATCTAAGGTAACAAAGTCTCTGCACGTCCTGAAGTGTACCGGAAGGTTGAGATGGTGTTAAAAGAAGAGTGCTAATTCTGGTCAACAAACATACATCTTCCTTCATCCATCTTCCTTTTAAATCTATTCCTTCTCTTAAACTTTTCTATTTGCCAGTAATCTAGATGTCTTCAGAGGTGAATCAGCCTCAATCAGTAATGTTCTGTTATCTTGTTAGTAAAGCGTGCCAAGTTTTTTTTAATCAGAAACAGATCAGCAAATCAATGTGTACATGTCTTGATGTTAAATTTTGATTCTGTTAAATGAATGACCGCATTTATTCTGATGGGTCAAAGATAAAATGGCGTCTCATGTCACTGATTAAACAATCCTCACAGTTAACTCAGTCACATGGCAGAAATTTAACTCGAAAAAGAAAGAATCCGTTCTAATTAAATAATTAATATTATTTGTGCTTGAACTAGCTTTAAGAATAATTAATTAGTAGTGAAGCTAACAGCAAAGCTGTCCCTGACATCACTACACTCTCAAGGTGGCTGCATGTTGGAGCAGATCTGTTACTTTCATTCCGAGATTTTGCTTTTGGAAACTTTAATTGCTCTTTTTTTGGATGTAAATCACTTTTTTTTCTTTTTTTTTTTTTAGATGATTGTTTCCTCTGGTATCAGATGCTCTGCAGCTGGAAGGATTTTTACTGAAACTTTTTTAGTTTTGGACATTTGTTATGATGTGTAACCATGGCAACAAGGCAGCTTTCTACAACCAACAGCAGCTGATTAACATCTCAAAAGCTCAAATAGTATCTCAACTACAGCCCCAAATCTCAAATGAGTTGAAAAGGATGTTCTGTGGATGCATTCTCATTTACCTGCCAGCTGTGCTCGAGTGCCTGACCACTGAGATCCTGGAACTAGCAGGAAACACGGCTCATGACAGCAGAAGGACAGGATCGTCCCTCAACACCTACAGTTGGCTGTCCACAGCGACGAGGAGCTTGACAGACTGCTGGGAGGAGTGGCCATAGCTCTGGGAGGAGTTCTGCCCAGCATTCGGGCGGTCCTACAGCCCAGGGGAACCGAGAGGCCAGCCAAGTCTGTGTGGACGGATCGGACGGCATCTGCAGCCAGTTTCTTAAGATCCACTGTGGGATGAACCTTTACAAGAGAGCCTTCCTGTCTACAGCCATCAGCATCTATAATAATATAACAATAATTATTATTATTATTATCTATAATAATAAGCATCTATATAATCTCTTAATGAAATTAGAATAACAAGTTACAACAACAAATAATTTCCCTTTGGGATTAATAAAGTATTTTTGAATTGAATTGAACTGAAGTAGTCTATGTTCATAAATTTTATGGTCAGAAGATCGTGACGGGATTTCCATAACTTGTTCACCGAATGACAGAAATAAAACAGATGTTATGTTCTTTCAGGTTCCTGACATATAACAGTTATCACATTCAATTTAAAATCTATTTCTGATAAACAAGTTTGAAGGATAAATATTTTTTAGAGTTTTGAAATGTAATTCTTTATATTTAAGTGGAAGAGGGAAACCCAGATATATATATATTTTTTTTAAAGTCTTCCCTTCTTATCTTATTTCCTTCTTGAAATTCCAGCCAATCGTGCTTTTCTAAATGTTACCTACGAGTGACGTGTATGTGTTTGCCTCAGAACAACGGCCATGATTGGCTGAATAGTCCACTGCGCCCACCCCATGAGTGAGGAAAAGAAAAGGAGAAGAAGAAGAGCCGGTCTGGAAGCGGACCCATCACTACTATAGTGTATCAATAGATTTGTTATTTTGGTTATGACGGGTGTACGATAATTTCCTTCAAAATACGATAATTTTATGTGTCTATTACGATAATCCTACATTTCTGACCTGGCAACTCTGCAGCCAGCAGAGGAAGAGTTGATGACGTCACCCTCCTGCGCCACTTGGAAATGCGAATCCAAATAGATTTTTGGAACACTTTTTGCGGGGGCAGGGCGTGAAAACGAAAAAGCAGTTTCCTCTTATAGTTTTCTCTTTACAATGAGCAGTGTTGACAAGAAAATGAAAACACCGTTTGAAGATCTATTAGCAATTTAATTTGAGTCAAAAAATGCAGCTCGACTTTGAAATGAAAAAGCATTTCTTCTAATTAATTTTAATTTTCAAATTTGACATTTCAAAATTAATTTTGGTCACTTTTTACTGGGACATATTTTGAAAATTAAATGTTAAATGTTATCATTTTAAATAATTTACAAATTGAGTAATCTCGAAGACAAAAATGAAAAAGCATTTTGGATTATTCATTTTTAATTTTATTTATGTGTCAAAACATGCAGCTTTATTTTGAAAATGAAAAACATTTCTATTAATCCATTTTAATTTGATAAATGAGGCACTTTCACTTCCGTAGTGTCTCAGTTGAACTTTTTCTTAATAAATGCACTTAAACGGTCATATCAGCTGCATTTCAAAAGCTGATTTGCCGCTGCGGGAGCGCACAGAGGGAGGACTCACTGTGCGTTTCTTCTAAATTTACCAAGATAACCACCTATAAACAATTATTTGTTTGGTCAACATTATAGTAAAGGTGTGTCTCAGTTGAACTTTTCCTTAATGGTCAAATCCGCTGCATTTCGCCTTGGCGGCACGGCAAAATGCAGCTGATTTGATGTTTGCTCCAGGAGTTCAGGAACGAGATGAAGGTGGCTTGGTATGGCAAGCCAAGTGTCTCATTAATAGTCACTTTTACCTATTAATGAGACACTTGGCTTGCCATATTACTCAAGCGCCCTCTAGTGGCTGAAAATGCTATTGTTCAATATTTTCCATGTCAGAATGAATGAAATCGTCAGATCTCAGCCAAAAAATGGATTATAAATATGGGGGGGGACAAAATAAGTTGCTTTGCCATATAAGTCAAAGGGCATGCTAATGTATGCAAAAAGTTGCAACTTATACAGTGAAAAATATGGTAATTATTTTCATATTGATATGTTTTTTTTGTATTAAATTGCAACACAGAATTGAACTGGATGCACATTCCTTCTCTTAGGAAGTGAACAAAGAGGTCTACAACTTCTTGGCAAGTGCTGGGGCAAAATACGGAGTTGGCTTCTGGAAACCTGGTTCTGGAATCATCCACCAGGTATAATCACTAAAAGTTGAAAATGGAGTTTGTTCTGATTGTAGCTAATATTTCATCCATCCATTATTTTTACCCACTTCTTTCTTTTTGGGTTGCGGGGGTCACTGGTGCCCATATCCAGCAGTCATTGTGCTAGAGGACACCATGGACAGGTCTCCAGTCTGTCACAGGGCCACATAGAGACAAACGAGACAAATAACCATTCACTCTCTCACTCACACCTAGGGACAATTTAGAGTTACCAATCAGCCTAACATGCATGTTTTTGGTTTGTGGGAGGAAACTGGAGCACCTGGAGAAAACCCACGCATGCACAGAGGATTTGCAAACTCCACCCAGGCTGTTGGGTAGGATTTGATTTGGCAACCTTCTCACTGAGAGGCAGCAGCTCTACCAGCTGTACCACCATGCTGTGCTAATATTTCAGCTACTAACATGTGTTTTATGTATAAACAGATCATCCTTGAGAACTATGCCTACCCAGGAGTGATGCTCATTGGCACAGATTCCCACACACCAAATGGAGGTGGGCTTGGTGCCATCTGCATTGGAGTCGGTGGAGCTGATGCAGTTGATGTGATGGCAGGAATTCCCTGGGAGCTCAAATGTCCCAAAGTTAGTCAGCTTTTTTAGACATTTACCTTGTTGTGTCTCTTCTTTTTCCACTCTGTGTGTGTTTTTGATTTGTCTCTGCACATCTTAAACGACAACAAACATTTCTCATCTCATCCTTAAAGGTGATTGGTGTGAGACTGACTGGCAGCCTCTCAGGCTGGACATCTCCAAAAGATGTCATCTTGAAAGTGGCAGACATCCTCACAGTAAAGGGGGGAACAGGAGCCATTGTAGAGTACCACGGGCCAGGAGTCGACTCCATCTCCTGTACTGGTCAGATATGAATTGCTGTTTTTTAATTATCTAAATAAGATTTGGTATGGTATGGTATAAAGTTTATTAATTTAAAAAAAGTATAAAACAATTCCATAACAATATAAAAAAGATACAAAAGATTTAAAATGAAAGGCAGCAGAATAAGAAAAAATCTTATTATATCTGCCCCTTTTTTTTAAACAATTATTTCAATCATAATAATTTTCAAGTAACAGAACAAAATGAATAACTCTTTCTAATTTATCTAATTTTAATACAAAACACACACTAAGCTACTTCATATATACTTTTTTAACTATTCAGTTTTGATCTTTTTCTTAAATGTACACATTGACTTGGCATTTTTCACATCACTCTCTAGAACATTCCACAATCCAACTCCTTGGATTGAGGTAGACCTTCCCTTGAGACTAGTTCTGAATTTTGGTTTGACAAATATCTCTATCCCCTTAAGATTATAACAACTTTGTCTTTTAACAAAATTTCTTTGGATATTTAATGGTAATGTGTTATTTTGAGCCCTATACATAACTGATAAAATACTATAATCTACCAAATCATGGAACTTCAATAACTTCAGTTGATAAAATAATGTGCTTGATGGGTGACTGTAATGCTTTCTGGTGATAATTCTTACAGCTCTTTTCTGTCAAATAAAAATAGGTTTTGTAAATGTTTTACACGCTTTCCCCCAAACATCAATGCAATAGATTAAATGTGGAACAATGATTGTGTTATACAACACGTACAGAGCTTTATCATTTAATAATTCCCTGACTTTGTATAGTACTGCAATAGATTTAGATATTTTTGTTCTTACAGAATTTATGTGATTTTTCCATGTTAGCTGTTCATCAATGATTACACCCAAAAATTTCATCTCATTAACTCTACAAATCTCAACACCCTCAATTTTAAACGGATCATCAACAGTTCTCTTTTTGTTACTAAATATCATGTAATTAGTTTGATCTAAATTTAATGATAATTTATTAAGTTTAAACCAAGTTTGTATTGTATCAAATTCTGTCTTCATCAATTCCAACATCCGTTTTACATCTTTACCCAAACAAGAAAATGTGGTGTCATCTGCAAAAAGGACACATTTGAGGAGTCCTGATACATTCACTAAGTCATTCACATATAAAATAAATAACTTTGGTCCAAGTACAGAGCCTTGAGGAACTCCACAAGTGATATTGCACAGGTCAGATCTTACACCATTTATTTGTACAAACTGTTTCCTATCTTTTAAATAGCTAGATACCCAGTGTAGTGCTGGTCCTCTTATACCATATTTATTTAATTTTTCAAGGAGAATAGTGTGGTCAATAGTATCGAATGCTTTTTTAAAATCAACAAAAATACTAACACAATACTGTTTTTGATCGACAGCAGTAGTTATTTGTTCTATTACTTCCATGAGAGCCATTGATGTAGAGTTTTTTGCTCTAAACCCATACTGACTGCTACTTAGAATGTTTTGTTTAATAATAAATTTATCTAATCTGGTCACAAACAGTTTTTCTAGAATTTTTGAGAACTGTGGTAATAAGGATATTGGTCTATAATTATTGAACACACATTTATCACCATTTTTAAAGAGAGGAACTACCTTTGCTACTTTCATATTGTCTGGAAATATTCCTTTTGAAAATGATAAATTACAAATATATGTAAACGGCTCGATAACATAACTCATTATGTCCTTTACAAACATCATATCCATGTCCACCCAGTCTTTTGATCTCTTATCTGTAAGATTTTTTACTACATTCATTATTTCTTCTTTGTCAGTTCCATTAAGAAAAATACTGTTGTCACAACTTGTAACTGAATGGTTCACATTATTGTCCACTTTTGGTATTTTAGCTGCAAGGCTTGATCCAACGTTCACAAAATGATGATTAAATCCATTTACAATTTCATTTTCATCATGGATTTCATTGTCATCCTTCAAAAAATAAATAAATAATAAATTAAATAAGATTTAAATTTGGAATGTTAATCTGGGGCAGCACGGTGGCGCAGTTGGTAGAGCTGCTGCCTCTCAGCGAGCAGGTCACCCTGGTTCAAATCCCGGTACGGGCGTCTTTCTGGGTGGAGTTTGCATGTTCTCTCCGTGCATTTGTGGGTTTTCTCCAGGTACTCCGGTTTCCTCCCACAGACAAAGAATGTGCATGTTAGGCTCATTGGTAACTCTAAATTGTCCCTAGGTGAGAGTGAGAGAGTGAATGGTTGTTTGTCTTGTTTGTCTCTATGTGATGGACTTGCGACCTGTCCAGGGTGCATCCCGCCTCTTCTTGCATAGTGACAACTGGACATGGGCACCAGTGATCTCCGCGACCCAAAAAGGAAGAAGCGGGTAAAGATAATGGATGGATGGAACAAACCTGTTCTGCTTGTAGAACTGGTTTGTTCCACTTTGGAGTAAGCTGTTGGGGGAAGAATCAGTTTTGTTGTGTGTTTCCTTGACTGATGAAGCCTTCCGGATCGAAGGCGAAACGTTTCAGCACAAAAAAAAGAAACTGTCCAGATGACCTGACTGAAAAATGTTGGATGTTTGATGTATCGTTTTGATTGTTTACTGCTATTAGTGCTTAGTGTATTATTAGTAGATGTTTTTTAGTTGATATTTTTCTTAATTCATATCTTAGATCTTATTACTGTTTTTATTTTACATTTTATTGTTGTCTGTAACTGGGACCCTGTGTACGTAATTTCATCCCACCACATGTTCAACATGTGGTGCGTATTCAGTATTTATTCAACATTTTATTTTTTTTACTTTAAAAATAAAATATAGCAAGTCCTTATCGGCACAAATAAAGTGATGTGGAACATCTGTTCTTACCAAGCACAGAATGCTGCAGCGTTGTGCTGCTCCGTCAGGTGCAGCTGGGCTGTGATGGAGCGCTGTCAGGTGCAGACTCCTCTGATGGAGCAGGAGCAGGAGCCGGGAGGCTTGGAGGGTTTAATGTGGAGTTTAGAGACGAACCGTCATGCACTGAAATATGTTCTGGATAAAATACAGTGAGAAACGGGACCGGAGGAGAGTTAGCGTTTATGCAAATTAGCTTAGCATCGTAGCACCGATGTTGTCCTATTATGGCGTCAGCCTCTTTTGTTAGTTAAAAATATGTTCAGAACTGATGGGATGAGTCACTTAAAATATGTTTAAAGTTAGAAAACACTCACCATCTTCTATAAATGATTCAAGTAGAGCAGTGGCCGTGTCCAAACCACCCTCCAATCGCTCGCTTTGACTTTTTTTGTCAGCCACCAAGCACAACAACACCTGCACTTCTGCATTTGACCACGGCTTTGATATTATTGTTTTTGTATAGCTTCAAAATACTAAAAGATACTCTCCTCGAGTTATCAAAATACTAAAAGATACTCTCCTCGAGTTATCGCTAATGGCAGGCGGTAGAGAAAAATGGCGGATCGAGTTGTTTGGAAAGACTCCACAGACTCCTCCCCCTGACCAATCAGTGACCAACAGCTCTGCTCGCTTGGACCCTTGAGAAGCTGGGCCAGAATTCTGGGAGGTGAGCCGGTCCCAAGAACCATGGAAAAGACCTCAAACACGCGTCAAGCCGGAAATATCCGACCCGCGCCGTGACAGTGGAAAAGGGGCAATAGAGTTGCTGGCCCAGTTTAACCCAGTCAGAACCGGGTCATAATTTCATTATAATCTCGTCTCTGAGCAGATCAAAACCCCAGGACCAGTCTAGATAAATATCTAACAATGCAATATAAGATGAGATTCGGCAAATTACAAAATGGAAGCATAAACAAAGTAAAGAGTATCGGTTTAAGTACTAAACCCTGAGAAACTCCATAACTAACTCTGGTATGAAAGAAAATTCACTATTAGTTATATTGGTTAGGCCCGAGCAGTGAAGCGCTGCAAAGGCCCATTGTAATCGCTCTGTTCAAGCCCGAGCTGCAATTTTTTCCTCCAAATGAATTGCCGTTTTGGGGGCCTTAACTTATCCCAAAAGTCATCAAATTTGGCGGACGCATCAGGATTGGTGAAAAATTACGTATTTTAAGGGCGTGGCAAAAATCACAAAAGAAACTGATCAAGAGCGCCACCTAGAAATTTTCACTGACAGTTTGGGGTGGAGCATGTGGGCAGCGCGGCATGACAAAGTAAGACGTAATGCCGTCGCCATACGTTTGGCTCTAAATTCCACAGTTTTGAACCGAGGTGCACCAAAATCAGTATGATCAGTCATTATCCACCACTTGAACAGGAATCCATGATAAGTGGCCAGTAGCCTCCACAGCGCCCTCTAGAATATTTTAAAACCTCAGCCCCAAGCCATTTTTTGACCGATAATTCTGAAACTTGGTGAACATCTGTATCTTCTCAGGACCTATGAAATAGTCTCTTGGAGCCCTGGTCCAAAACCAACAGGAAGTCGATCATTTTGGGTCAAAGGGTCATTTTTGAGCTTTTCTAATTGCAAATTTTAACGAACTCCTAGGAATTTTGGATTGCCTTCAAACTTGGTTGATATGCCATTAAGACATTGGAGAGTAAAAGTTTTCTAAAGCTTGCATTTTCGTACATGTTAAAGGGTCGTGGTCAGGCCTTAAAGTTTCGCTTCAGGATATAAATTTCCAAACTATAACTTTCACAATGAAAGACCGAAATGCACGAAACTTGGCATGATCCATCCCTGTTGGATGCCCGACGATCCACTGTGGTCATATTTTGACGTCAGCAAAGCCCCGCCCCTCAGAACAGGAAGTCTCTTTTTTAACTTGGAATACTCCCTCTTTGACACCATTGACCTAATCAGGATGATCCTGTGTTAGAAGACGGATAATATAGTCTGACTTGATTTAAAGCGCAAACCGTTTTTGCTTGAGGATGTGGGCGTGGCGAATTAAGAAATGACGCCTTTGCAATATGTTTGTCTCTAAATTGCACAGATTTCAGCCGAGGTGCACCAAAATCACTATGATCGATCATTATCCGACCC